TATATATATATTTTTTAATGCATTTATATATGTCTGTATAGGATTGTATATAATAATGTATACACAACAATTTATTGCTCCTTAAAGAATTAATGGTATGGTATGTACACTGGTTTACATAAGGTACCAATGGCTTAGGCCTATATATTGCTTTATTAGGCTACTGTCATGGCTTTCTCTTTTTATTCTTTCTTATATAACTGAATTCTGTGCTAATAGCTTTATATTGTACACATTAAAGCTAATTACTCTTTCACACTAATTCAGTGAGTATGTGCATATTTTTACAATGTTGGATAACGCAAATATTCCCATAAACAATGACATACAGTTGTTTATAATGGTCACAAACATTCTTTGACACACATAGCACACTATACACACTAACACGTGAAATAAAAGAATGGCAGAAAATCATAGCAGTTATTAAAACCTAAGATGATAAAATAGTAGACGATATCTCTAATTCTGTTGCATTTATGTATTTCAAAATACTACACACCCTGTGTGATTTAGTTTTGTGTCTGAATAATTGTTAGAATGTTGATGCATCATAGAGATAAATATGCGAAAATAGCATTATGTTATTTGAAGTTTGCATCAGTGCATTAATTTCTCCGAAAATCATTCGCGTTCGGTCCAAGTAGATACTCCTAATTATTGTAATTATTGTACCTATACATTCAATGGAAAAAATGTACAATACACTTTTCCATTCAAATCGCAATTGTAACAATCGCTTTATTTAAGAACATATAAAAAGTTTTTTTTACAATTGCTTGTGACAAGCTCTCTGCACCCTTGTTAACACTTATTAAATCTTTGGTCCTTAACATTATTTTTAAATGATCATTATCACTAATAATTTTACATGTTTAATATTATGCGTACACTAACAAATAGATTGTTCACACATTGTTGATTTGTACATGATAGCAGTTCCAAGTTAATTTTTGCTTACACCTCTATGCATCTCTAAAAACATATTATTCATCAAAAGCAAGTATAGACTTACACAATTTTCACTGACTTTGTGAAATGTTAGCAAATATTAACAGGTCACAGTTACTATCTAGAAACCAACAACAAAATATTTAACATAGGCCATGAAAAGCTGCAGTTTATGAACCTTCAGCTAGAAACATTATATATATTTTTATACTAACACACAAATTATTTATGGCAATTGTAAAGACAGATCAATTTGTTCTATGTAATTCATGGCACTTACTCGTTATACAAATTATGACATAAACATGATAATTATATAAAAGACAAATAGCATATTAAAGAGAGCATTTACAATTCTGTTTTACAAGAATTTAATGCCAACTATCTAGTTATATAGTATATATAGGATATATTACATTTACCTCATGACTCGATGATATGAAATATTTATAATGGTAACCCATAAAGTCTTATTGCACATGCAATTCTAATATATTAACTAACTATATGATCTTTTTAACTTAATGTAACTCTCCCCCAATATAAAATAACTGTCACTGATTTATTCATTCAGAAAAGAAAATTATAAGTACTGTAGATTTGATACCCCAACCATTATGTAAAAGAATTGTTAAATTGTTTGGTAATTCTAATAAAATATGAACACGTACTTAAGTAAGATGACCTTTGCGAGCAGTTACATTGTTAAATAATTTATATCTAATCTTAGACACGTTTATTCAAGGTATGATCATTCATCCAAACATTCACATGAACGTTTTATCACTTAAACTGTACAGATCGCTTATATTAAACCTAATACCACTTTATTTAAATAACACTGCAAATAATTCTATTAAAAAATATATACTTTTAGATATATTTACAAAATTAATTTGTAATATTTTTCCTTCCATTGAAAATTGCTATAAATAGAGATTTGTATACATGCTGCATATTGTGTTAATTTTATTATCTCCGTAATGTGGCAGTTAGGAATATAGAACTGTGATCGTTCAGGGGTTCTCAACTTCGCAGACATCCGTATAATCGACAAGTTGTTAAAGGTCAATTAAAGGTCAACGAAAGAATAATCTGTTACTCATTATTAATTTTTTGACAGTTTAAAAATAAATTCACAAGGTGGAGACAATTATTAAAATCAACTGATATGCACAACTGATTGCGAATTCCTTACCTAACTTACATTTTTTGATATATATTATTCAAGTCAAATTTTTTTACCTCAAAATAAGATTTTTTCTTAATTTTGTAACGAAATTACTAGAAAGTATGATACAATAAAAATACGAAAAAAAATAATTCAATTTGTTTCAATCATAAAAAAAAGATAAATTTATCTATGTTTAATACAACTTTCTCTTTTTAATGCACATTAGTAAATTCAACAGTACAGAAATATATCACGTTTGAAATAATACCACAGCGAATACAATTAAAACAATGAGTATCACCGAATATACTAAAAAAATTTCGATCTTTTTGATAATTTATTAACAGCTTCTTAAATTTATGATTTATTATTTCCCCAATAATAAAATAAGTACTTGAATCATAGCTATGATTCCCTGTATTAACTTTTTGAAATGTGTATAACAAAATCTGACTGAAAAATATTGTGTAACTAAGCGGAAATATTAACAGATCTGAAGCTTAAATGTAGTATTATAAGCAAAGATGCATCAAATGGAAGAACTTCATATAGAAAATTACGAACATTATAAAAATCATAAAAAAATTTGTGTCATTTTTTCACATATACTTTTCATTTGTAGCTTTTTTTCAAAGAGGATTATACCAAGATCCTCTGAGTTCTCTTTGGTCTTATCCAAGTTAATTTCTATAACACTTTTGGTAAGTTACATGCAGACATCTGCATACAGTAATTCTATGTAAAACATTTCTTTCAAGGATGATTCCCTGAGATGCTCAGATTCAGAGCAACCTTATTTGCTTAGCTATGAATGCAAAGCATCAATAATATCTATTTATAACGTACTCACATATTATTCAATGTCTGTAGTATCTTCAATAACAGAATCCCAATTAAATTCTGTTGCACTTTGTCTAGACGGTAGTTCACCGAGGTGTTGAAATCGTTGCACAAAATATGGATCGCGATCTCTAAGCCGTTTGAACCTTTGAAACGCAAGATTCCTTGCAAAATCATAGAGTTCTAGATCCAGTCTGTTAAGCCTACGCACAGCGTCTAATTGTTCTGCGGTAAGGGTAGCCATAGTAGCAGCGCTCAGTGTTGCATTATGTTGTTCGAATGCAACAGCGAATCTCATTCCGAACGTTTCTTCAAAAGAATATTGCCCCACCTAGTCAGTGTTAAATAACAGACTATGTGTAAAAGAACAATTAATAACCCTACAATTATTATATTTATGTACACCTTATGCAAATACTTAACAAATAACAATTGTTTAGAATGCAACATTTTGTCCCTACTGTACAACAAGGCGAATGAACTTTAAGACATTAATTTAACTAGAACTCCATGCTGTAAACGTATGCTGTCGGTGCTTTTATAAGCATGGCTGTTAATCTCACATTTTACATTAACCCTCGCCCAACTAACGTTGGGTCACACGTTGACCCATAACGGAGACGGAGTGTTCCAACGTTTTCTGAAGTTAATATTAAATCTACTAAGGTACTAGTAACAAGCAATGCCATTTCGCAAGTTATTGGAAAGTGTACGATGTTACACATAATGAGGAAGCATCGACGGACGGAAGTAATGTATTACTCTGATAATCAACTCGAAGCACAAAACATGGATGATGACGTGGTTTCTATAGTAAACAGTGATAACGAAAATGTTGGCTCCCGAGATGAAATTGTCTATAGTCATAAGTAGAAATATATTGCTCCAAAAAAATAATCAACTGCACATAGTTGTGCGGCGCAAGGGTAGAGTGACTGTCGGAAGTCAAATCAAGTGAAAACAATAGAGGATTGTTTCAATATACAGGGTGAGTCATCTAACGTTTCCACCTCCAATATCTTTGTTGTTTTTTTAAGATACGTCAAATGTCTTAGGAACAAAGTTTAATGATTCAGCGGGGTTCACCTGATACCAAAAATATTTCTGTTTTTGTCATTTTTTTACTTTTTTAGATTTTAAGGTCACCTTGATTTTTTTAAATGGACACTCGGAGACATTCACTTTACGCGGATCAAATTATTGCTAATATCTCATTAACTATCAAGTTTAGGACGTATGAAGGTCAACACTTTTATACTCAGAATTTGATAGCCTATCGATCTATGGTAAAAAAAGTAGGTCATTCCATTAAAAAAAGAAATGATATAAAAACAAAAATATTTTTGGTATCATCTAAGCCCCACTGAACCATTCTTCTTTGTTCTTAAGACATTTTACGTGTCTTTAAAAACAACAAAGATATTTGAGATGGAAAAGTTAGGTGACTCACTTTGTATTTAAAAATGAGGAAATAATCTTGTGGTTCTGTATCTATACAAATAAAAACATTAACGACCATTATCGCTAATCCGAAAGAACATAGAAATCATAAGTAGAATTGAAATACACGCGTTCATTGAGAGAATTTCTTTATGAGTATTTGAAAAAGTAGGAAAAATTTGTCAAAGTTATTCACTGAAACATCTCAAAGGCCGCAATGCTCTAAAAACTTTCTGTTCTTCGAAAACCTAATTTTATTGTCATTATAACAAAACTGCGGAGTGTGTAGTATTATTATTAACAATACACATCACGAACATGCTATGTTTTAATTAAGTGGAAATGCAGTATTTTAACACGTAATTGCCACTAAAGCAATAGGGGAAAAACTCTGTTAACTGACTGAATCGACTGATGTTCGAAAACGTTTAAGATACTACACCTATATTATAATCAATATTAAATGATATTTATTATTTATTTACTTTGGCGGGTAAAATAAATTAAACTATTTAATATTAATAAAATAATATTGGGCAATATATGTTATATATTCTTTAAACGTTCAAAAGAGCGGGATGTTTACGGGATATTCATCGTTCGGGTGTGGTGGGTAAGACAAACATTTACATCAAGAGCTACTTGCCAACACATGATTTTCTAGTGTATTGTAAACCATGTTTCTACAGCCGGCGCAAGCGTGTTTAAAAATAACGTGAAGTATGTACAGTACATAAAACATACAAAAATTAGAAGAAAAAAAAAATATATGAAACGGCCGAGATATGTAGATATTGGATACTTTAATGTATTAATGAATGTAAAATGAATCAAAACCCTTCGCATCATCGCAACAAAATACCATGCAAACATGCTAGTTCAAAATATTACCAAAAAAAAAATTAGTTCTTACTTTTTGGTATTCAGTCAACATGAAGAAAGGCATGAATTGCAAATTGTGTTTAGCACTAGCCAACATGAGCCGATCTCTCTCCAAGCTGCTGAGTGTAGAATTGTAACAACCAACAATTGATAGATCAGCCAACATTCTGGTCTGGCGGTTGCTTGCCAAATTATATGGGCACGCCATAAACTACATAAATATAACATAGTTCATCAAAAAGATTTATACTGATACTATCATAGAAAATATTCTTCTATTTTCAGACATAAAAAATTTATTGTACAATTTTGATAACCTTGTGTAAATTTCAAATGTCTGTACCAACAAAGCAACAGTTGTTCTGATGGGAATAATTACATCTATATAAAATAGGAGAAAAGGAAGTTTTAAGATAAGGAAAAATGCTTATCTTAATGTGTTTCTAGATGTGGAAGCCTTTTAGATAACATACTTAATGCTGTACTCACAAAAGAAGACTCTGTTTTCATTTTATGAACATACTATGTTACAAAATTATATTCAAATTACTAAATGATACACTGAATTGCAAAATAGTGTTACCTGTTCCAGAGAGACACCTTGCCAACTAGATCCAGGGTAACACTGCGGTATATTTGCCTGGCTTCCTCCACACCAGTGACGTGCACCTCTCCATGTTGCGCCCCTTTGCACATGTCTGAATTCAGACAGATATCGGGCAACAGGGTCTCTTATAATAGTTATATAAAAGTATCTACGCTTTATCCCCTCCCCTTCAATTTTATTTAATTCCGTATCAACACAGCTGGTCAATTCTGTCCAGTCTGCGTGTAAACCACACTTCCAACCAGTGGAATACCGTGAAAAGAGCCAGTTTTCGTTACGATTTGGACGGAAACAAAAACAACGCTTGCGTCTTCTTTGACAAGAACATGGTCTCTGTAAATCCAGATCCCTGACTAAATGTTTTCCAAATAAAGTTCCCCCTGAAAACATAAAAACATGTGTGCCATGTATAGAACAGCTTCTTACATGATAATTTTTTACTACAACTTTTTTTGCTAACATCATGTTTGTAAGACACTAGGAACTAGTAATTTCTATGCAAATTTCATATAAATTAGTGGAGTGGTAACTAATAACACATGATACAAGTTTTTATGACTTCTGTCGACTACTGATATGCATCTTGCTGAAGGAAAGATTATAAGAAGCTTGTATACAGAAAATAAAAAGGAAATGGACATATGCATGCACAGCATATTAAACAAGCCAACATCTCTGAATTGTTTTTTCCCCTCCTAAGATGGGGTCTACAGGTCTTATAGTGCCTAATGAATAATGCAACGGTTGAGTTGTACAATGGTCAGAAAGTGTGTTGCATTGTTTTTATTAACCTATAGGATTGGTTGGAATTTATCCAAAGAAATCTATGTACAAAATGAATCAATATTTATGCAAATTACTTAACATGTATATCACAAAATTCATTCCTATTATTACAACTTTTTACTAAATTACAGAAACAATTTACTAAATCGAATGTAAATAAATTAACATAAATAATATTTTATAAAGTTTACATTACTATATAACAATTATCAATCTAAAAACAAATTAAATGATACTCATACTTTCAGAATTTGGATCTATAGATTTTATGCAATGGAACAAGAGAGAAAAGTGTATTTATAAAAAAACTGTAAAAACAACAATTTAATAAAACAAAAATTGTGTATCAGAGAACAACACAATTACTTCAGAATAAAAAATAATAAATAAAAAAAATTGCACAGAGATTTCATTTAGCTACTTATTCAATGAAACAGTGATTCAGGCATGTCTACACTCATTCAAAATAGAATATCTTCTTTGTATACAATGACTGATAAGAATTCCTAATATCTCGTTCGTTACACAAGACTCTATTTAAATAATAAATTCGCCCATCTCTGTTCGACGGGAAATATAACTATCACTCACCAGTCTTCTGAATATGTAGGAAAACGATGACATCGTGCGCATTAATATCAAACTGGAAGGTTTCATTAGTAAACACATCGTCGTAACCAAGGCTCCCTTGGATGCTTTGCAATCTAAAAGCAGGATGCACCGAGAGCAGGCCATTTTTGTCGAATTCGATGGAGACAGAAGACAAATCGGAGCCGGGACCAGCGGACAGACTCTCGGATAGTCTTACGGACTCTTTGATCTCGCGATTTGTCAGGGCGCACACATGATCCGGGCAAAAATATCCGAGATATATGATGCTCGTCAGCGCAAGGAACAAGCATATCCCTACAACGCTACGCAACCGAGTCCTCCGTGCTCGTGACTCCATCGTCGCAGTCCTCTCGCATAAATCGTCCTGTATAAGGACCGAGAGTTTGCTAACGCCTCTTTCGTTTAACCGTCTGCCCATTATCGTGCCCCATGTTTCTTTTCACCACTGGACGCACCGCGAACCGTTCGCCGACACGGCCTGACCAAAACTACGCTGCCAGCGGACGTCGGCCATGACAGATACTTCGTATCCCCACCACTGTTCCTCAACGCGGCTCTCTTTACGGACATTTGTCTGGTATTTGTCTGTAACAGTTTCTTAAAGTGGCAAGGGGCAAGGGAGAGAGAGGGGATCGTCGGAGTTTATTTAAAAGTGTGAAGTTATGGAGTGTGCACAATGTAAATATCATTGTGTGCATGTGCAAGCTCTCTCGTGGTGCATCTATTTTAAGCGTCGACTTTTTTGTTTTCCCGAGGCGGGTTTCGGTGAAAGTTTCGCGGTACGGACCATGCATTTTCGAATGATGCTGTATCTTAACTGTAGCGGTTGGTTACAACGTTTTTGTATGTATTTGTTTTTCTTAATACCACTTTTTCAACGATTTAATGTATGTAGAAATTATTCATTAATAAGAAGCGGGTGGCAAATGGTTGGGAACTTGATTCACTGAGACTGCGTGTACACAGTGCTGTTATTGAGGACATGTTAAATAAAGATTTATATTATCTTTGAACAAGCCAGTACTCTGTTTTAATGCTTGATTAATCCAAAGCAGAATGCGCAACGTAACGTGACGCTGTGATATTAATATTAGTTTTTAATTTACCGCCGTCTACGATAAGTCTGAAGTCAGTAGCGCTCTGTTCGAGTGCGTTGAATTTTGCGTAACGTCAGACTGAGAGGGGTGCACCATAACCTCGTTTCTGCTGTCAAATTTCGTTTCTACGTTCCAAAACAAACGTATATTTATATAAATACTATTATTTATACCCTGTCGTTATTTGTACTAAAGTTACATCTTTACAGCATCTACATTTTGTCAAGTAAGTAATATACAATGTTAATTGTAAGTTTATTGCAATTCATGACAGGTGTTGAAGACTTAATTATATTTTTTTGATGCTTTTATTATGTCATTAATCAACACACTTTGATATTTAAATGTGTAACGGTATTTTTTTTATCTTTTAAATGTTATCTTGAAATGGGTACATATATGTACTAGTAACTATAAAATTGCAATGAATAGAGCAAAATAAATATGAGTGCATAAAAATAAATGCCCTAGTTTTGCTGTATTAATAGTAGTTTTAGTTTTTATACATTATAACTGGAAAACATTGCCATAGTCATTACAGAAGAACATGTTTTGCTGAATTATATAAAGTTGAATGTATTAAATTTCCATTTGCATGTCCAATTTGCATACATGGAAACATATGCATAAGTGTGATACCAGTTTGTTTTTTCTCAATATTTAGAATGACAACTATTGAACTATTAGAAAATAGAATAGCAGAGTTGGAGAGGAATATATATGGACTGAAAGAATTAAATGGAAGTAACAATATGCCTCTGGAAAATCCTGTAATTGATAGCCTTTTACATGCAAATACATTGATCTCATCTGCTATGTCAGGACGTGAAAAGGCAAATATGGCAATAAAGAGATTGCCAGAGTTAAATGGTTATTTAGATCCAGTGGTGGAAACCATAGATATACCCATAGAAGCCAAGTTGCAATTATTACTTACAATGGAACCAGAAATCAAACAAAATTGTGATATGCTACGTCAAATGCAAGAATTGATGCCTGTATTAGAAACCGATAGAATAAAAGATGTACCAGAATTATCCATCAAGTTAAACAAATTGAATCTGTCATATTTAAAAATATACGAAGAGAGTCAAAACCTAAGCAGTCACATAAATGAACTTTTTGCCAAGTACAATGACGTGATAACTACAATTTCCAAATCACTGATTTCCATAGATGTAGCAATAACAGCGGCAGAAATTGCAGCTATGCCCAAGAAGCAATTAGATTGAAATTATATTATGTAAATTAACTAAGAAAAATTAATTTATGATTTTATCAATAAAATTATACAAAGTATTATACAGAAAATAAAAAGGCATTGGATTCATTTAAAATACATTTATTCTATATTCTTAATATATAAAAATACTTACTCATTCATCGATGACTATGCATACATGAACATATTTTATTATTGTATCTCTCCATAACAATGTATTTTATTAAAATACTTATATATTATATACATTTATCCTATCTATTTCTTATCCTAATCCATCGTTCGTTTCGGGAATCCTTCTGGAGGATCTCTGAGACAAACTTCTAAATGAATAATTGGATGTATTTTATGCGTTGGTCTCTCAGATTGGCAATAAATATTTTTTTTCAGCCCTGTTGATTTCCCTATAGTAATTGGGTTCAATTGATAACGCGATTTCATTGCTAACACTCCCCGACGAAGCAGACTACAATACTTGAGACAACGCATTAAACGCAGTTACTATCAGGGATCAACAGCCTAATAAAAATTGAATTTTCAAAATTATTCGAATTATACTCAACAGATCTTCAGTATTCTTTTCGCGGTCATACTTAAGAGACCCGATTCGCTAAACCTGTAAAAAAATCTCTTACAATGTTAATCATATTAAACAGTCACTTTATACAGTATTTACAAATTTCTTAATTGTAAATAAGTATCGTGTTGCCAATTGTATGTACCTCTGTCACTCTTACTACAAAATATATTGCAATATCTACCCATTAGTCAATAACATAAAAAAAAGAAGAATCATTTACATTTCTTTTTTTTTCGCGTAGAAATCGAATTATGGCCATTCAGTGCTATCCGTCGATCACGTTCTTCGCATTCATAAATAGGAACATACTGTTTGAAATGTAGACGGATTCAATGTTAAAATAGAAGAAACAACAAATTAAGTACATTTTTTTTCCCCCGGTAGTTTTCTTCTCAACATTTTTAGAGGAACTTCGAAATTCGATCACTTCGGTTCCTGCTTTCGAATTTCTCGTGTAACGTTCGTTTCCGATACGTGATTCCGATTGAAATTTCTTTCATCAGAGAAAACACCGTCTTCCTTTTAACTTTGCATCTGCAAAGCGGGTACGGACTGCCGCAGCCAAGTGAGCGCGGGTTCCACGGTCGAATAAATTGCCGGATGACCCCTTGAGCATCTGCTGTGGTGACTAAGTAGACCCTGAATCTCCCATCTGGCTGAACCACCGCCTGACTCGCTGAAACACATTAAGGGTGCTCCCTCGTCGTTCTGAAAAAGGAACAAGAACAATCATATCACTCGATGGCTAGACAAGAAGAAAAAAAACGAGCACGAGCGGGAAACGGAATCAAAGGGATCTTACGTAACAAGGTCCTTTATCCGTGTCAGTGAATCCAGCGCAAATGTTGTCCTTCGTAATGAATCCCGCGTAATGATTCGTCGCGTTGCACTCCTCTAACTCGTGGGTCGGCAGCGGCAAGAACTTGCGGTACTTCTGTAAATCCACCTCGCCGTTCACAGGGAATCCCCATCCCACCATCATGCAAAGTTGCCTTGACTGCAATTGCAATGGAACAGAGGGTAAATTACGCCCCGTCGAAATGTCGAGACAGTTCGGAATTGTGTCAACGTTGAAAGCGGATTAACGAAACGTGATAATGCGTAACAACACCGTAATACGCAGGGAGTTCTGCAACAGGTGCCAAGTTCGAGTTGTTCGGAGCAACATACCCGAGGATTAACTGAAATGGAACTCACCTGGAACGGGTGTTTCGGGAGGCAAACAGCACTAACGTTTCTCGAGAAGGTCAACGGCTTGGCGAGCTCCACTAACGCGATGTCGTTGTTGTACAAGAATTGATTGTACTTCACTTGGGGATAAGGAATGATGCTTCTGACTGGATGAGCCTTCAATTGGTTTTCGCCGGTGTACAGTTGCCAGCCGTTGCTCTGCTTGTGTCTGTGATCAAAAGAGGATATCCATTGAGCAAAATAGCTCCTGTAACATCGATTTGTTTTCCATAAAATGTCAATTACCTGTGAATGCAAGAGTAACTAGCAAGTACATGCATGGGCCCTAGTATGCTCGCAGTGCAAGCAGCACCGCGCTTCTGTTCCTTCAGCAGGACCACGCTGGGCCATTGTCCTTCGCTGGATTGTGTTCCACCGGCTAATCTGGCGGTTGGTACTTCTCCGTAATGAGTGCCGCAAGAGAATTCTTGGCAAGAGAGTTGAACAACTTTCTCGGAGATGCAGAACTCTGCCGGCTCTAGATTCGTGACTAGTGACATAGCGGGATTCGAGTTGGACTTCAGTCTAAAAATTTTCTGACTCTTGTCCCAATCCGTTAGTTCCATTGCCTCGGAACCGGCAAATCCTAAGGTTTGGCAGTAAGAGTTGCTGTATTCCTCGGTCCATTCGTCGGAGCAAACTAGGCGGTAGCTGCCGTCAAATTGTCTGTAACACGAGGAGGACATTCAGAACAAAATTAGAACAATTTTAAGAAGATTTAATCGCAAGAAATTAGTCAGAAATTGAGAATAACTATAGCTAATGAAACTCACTTTATTTTTAACAGAGAACTTCTTTCGTTCAACTCCTGTCCGCCATTACTTCCGATCTCACTGTCATTGAGATTCTTCTCCATTGCTACATTGCTCATCAAACATCCCCATTCGTCGGAATGGTCAGGACAATGTTCTATTCCGTCACAGACTAGATTCTCCGGAATGCATCCTCCAGTTTTGCACCTAAATTGATCGATACCGCAGTCGCAGAGCTTTTCATCCTCTCCATCAGCGCACTCGCTGACACCGTTGCACCGCCATGTCAATGGTATGCACCATTTCTCTGTCGGACAGAGGTACTCGTCGTTTTTGCAACTTTCGTTGCATCCGTATTCGTCTCGATGTCCTTCGCAGTCCGGTCGGCCATCGCATCGCCAGATGCTCGGGATGCACCTTCCTAAAATAATAAATGACCATTCAATTTAAATAATATATCGCTGCTAGTGTGCGCTTCATTACAATAATTTGTGACCCGGTGGATCCTGAACTTTAGACTGCTCTTTATTACCCCTTTCGAACATTTACTATAATTGCTTCTAAGACCGGTCTATTAATATTCAAAGCAGCCCCATTAACATCCAGTCCGCTCGTTTTTCCTTTCACCTCTTTAATTCGATATTCCAATTTGCATTTAATGATTGGCCGCATAATGAACGCGACGTAACGAGAACTCACCGCTAGGACACTGGAATTCATCGGGCTGGCATTCCCATTTATCACAGTTTTTCTCGTCGCTGCCGTCGTCGCAGTCGAGGATCTTGTTACACACGAGGTCCCTCTTTAGACATTGACCGCTTGCGCACTGGAAATTTCCAGGGCAGCCTTGCTCCACGCAATCAAACTCGTCCGAGCCGTCTGAGCAGTCGTTTTCCGAATCGCATTTCGCGGATAATTTTACGCAATACGCACCGTCCCTGGACGTACCGTTGACGCATTGGAACTGGCCCGCGGTACACTTCGAGAACACCACGTTAGGCGGCAGATTCAGGGAAGAAACGTCAATATGACTGGTGGTTGCGGTCACGGTATCCGGCAATTTGGTTTGCGCGGTCGGCAAAACGATCGTGTCTACACTTTGCCCTTTCGCAACTTGATTTACGTCTGCTTCCTGCGTGAGCGAGGTAACATATGATTGGCCGGCAACCGTCGCGGCCTGTGAACCTGCCCCGTTCGCTTTCGTCTCATCCGAGTCGGTAATTTTTCCCACCTCAATTACGGTGTGTCCTTCGCTCGGTGATTCACTAGCTGCCAACGGAGCTTCTGTCGTAAAGTTTCTTAGGCTCAGCCGCGGGAAGTAGATGTAAGGCTCGGTAACTGGCTCCGGTTCATTTATTTCTTCCGAAACGGGAATGAAGCTCAGGTGTTTCTTCGTGGTGCTGGATTCCACTGCGCCGGTTTTGTTACCGAAGTTCTCTATTTCGGAATTTGATGTCTGATTAGATCCACTGGTGGTCTCCGTGATCTTCAATTTCGACACGGCAGAATCTTCCTGTGGAATATCCACATTAGTCGAAATCTGATCCGAAATCTTTTCGGTAACAGGTTCAGGAGCTTCGGTTAGAACTAACGTCGTAGGATTCGGAAGATCTGTCACCACGTTTTCCTCTCCGTTAGCTTCTAGATTGAGCTCCTTTTCCTTCTTGTACTTGTACTTATCGACCAGCTTTTTGTCCACGGATTTCTTTTTAACCTCCAAACTTTTTTCCAACGGAATTACTTTCAAATCTTCCTCGGACAGTTCTCCTACGTCCAAGTCAGGCAACGCGACTCTCGGTGTTGTGGTGAACAACGTCCTATAATTGAATATCAATGGCGTATCATCCTCGACAATCTCGGTAACTGGTCTTACATCCTCCGTTGTGCTGGGACTGTCCGCCATTTTGGTAGCATTATTCTCAGTCACATTCGCACGATTTTCTAGAATCATTGGATTCTCTGTTACAGTCTCGTTCAACATTGATTCGTTTTGCTTCGCGTTCTCGTCGGTACTCGTCACGATTGCAACAGTCACGTTTTCCTCGTCAGTCTGATTAACATTCGGAGCATCTATCTGTGACCAGCTGCCATTAATGTTCCTGCTGCCTAAATGCTCCACTGCGCTGGTTAGCAGATCATCCGTTCTGTTCTCGTGTTGTTCGGAATTGCTTATCAAGTCCTCGGTTTTATTCGCACTGTTAACACTGTCAATCGATTTTGATGGCTGTGAACTGTCGTCGGTATTCTGCAGGTTGATCTTTTCAGCATCCGGTTGTACAGTAGATGTAGTCAGCATTGGATCACTCTCCGTAGTCTGCAATTCTTCAGGCAGTATTGGCACCTGAGCAGTAGTTTTCGTTTCCATTGTGTTCACATGAGTCGTTGGAGCTTGGGTCGTCGTGACGTCTTCTTTTTCCGGATTTATATGCGCGACACTCGGTTCTGTGTCATTGTCCTTGCGGATAGTCTCTTCGGTCACTGTCGTGCTGTCGATTTTTTCAGTCGTGGACATCTCCTGCTGTATCTCCATTGGTAATACCGGTATCTGCGTGGTC